TCAGGGACATATTGACATATGGATCTATTCATATACACCATGTTCATTTCAAAATAACGATCTCATAACCAGGGACATATTAGCAGACATAGCTATGTATACAAGTGTATCGTTTCACCCATTATGTTGATAGACAATGTTCATTTTGAGAAATTGACGCATTGCAACCATATGCCAATGGTCGTTTTGCCCCAGAGGAATTTTTAAGTCTGCAGAGGCAGACACACAAAGTGTTTAAGAATTTCAAGGATTTGATTTTACATGGAAGGGGTAACTACGAGGGGAAATGATAGTCTGGTGGCCATGACAACATTCTGTATATTTAGATGTGCTCTTGAAGAGGAAGTGGATTCATAGCATGGTGTCTGAGAAACTGGTAATGTGAAGTGCTCTTTTTAGGACTTGCTGTGCACAGAGATATTAATTCTGATAATTTGTTACACATTCCTTCAGCCAATCACAGGCAGAGATCCTGGTGGTCTTCACAAGCAGGAAGGGTAACCAAGAATTGATCATGTTACTGAACATGTCTGTCGTTCACCAATGGGCATCTTAATATTCTGGAGAATGGTTTTCATAATTTATTTTCAAATGCTCATCAATTCAAAATATAGTCAACAACTGCTTACGAGCTATCAGTGTTACTTACCACTAAAGGCCTGTTTGACCGGTGTCTCACAAAGGTGTGAATGCTTCATTTGCATATAAACAAAACAAATATTCTTTTTACAGTAATATAACCAAATTCTCAGAGAAGAGTCCTCACATGGTCGCGTGTCTTGTATGTCCATGTCCATAACCCAATCCTCACAAATGTCCAAATTGACCCGATAAAAAGAAATTTAGGATTCCTCCAATATACAAATCTCCAACTCACCATATCCCTTCCCTCATCCTGCCTCATACCAGGGTCTTGACTGATAACTACATTTACCACAACCCTCATCAATGCACCCTCCCCCCATCTCCCAATTTTAGGGGGTAGAGATGAAACTGTTGCATAACACCTGCCACTAGCCTTTTGAAGTGCCTTCACCACAAGGGTAATGGCCTCCACTGGACTGCCAGAGTATGAACTTTGCTGGTGCTGGCCCTCAACTGCCTGTGGAGCTGGCTTGTGGTAATGTACACCACAATAGCCAGGGTCAAGTGGTCACCGCTGCTCAGGCTCTACAGGTGGGGGTGCAGCCACCACATTTACATTTTATACTACCACCAGGTCAGGCTGACATATAGTAAACATGACTTGGCAAGATTTAAATCATGTATGTGGAAAGCCATAACTTATTCATCAGAGCTAGGATTTATGCCAGGCTGGTCCCATGCGGTTGTAAACTCAGACATGCTGACCTGGCACAGTCTCCTGGGCAGCTGGACAATATCTGATGTACACTGGACACCAGATGGGTCAAGCTTTTACTCGGTCACACTTCAATTTCAACAATATTTGGCTTGACTCAAAGCATATCTCTGCAATGTGACCCTTGATGACTTGACAGTTTCTAAATGTAACCATGACCTTTTCCACCAAATTGAAAAAAATATACCAAATATATAAACTGTCAAACTGGACAAAAGAAATCAAATATTCTATAAAAGAATTTACAAAACTAAAAAGAATTGAATTGCAAACTCGTTTCTACAAGACATTCCTGCAGTAGGAAACCTGATTATCAATGAAAGCTAACATTTCATTTTAAATCATTGGCATCTAATGAAGTTCATTGGTACCCTTACCCCTCTTATCTTATCTTATCTTATCCCCCCTCTCTGCAACTTTTAGGATCAGCCCTCAACCAGAACATCAACATCCCCTTATCTCCCATCACCTCCAACCCTGTCCCCATTCTAGCACCTTCCATTGCTTTTGTCCTACCTTACTCCTCATTAAGATCAACCAAACCTTAACTTGCAACAACCACTTGCCCTACCGTGATCATTGTCCCACCCTGTATGTTGTCTGAACCCATATAATGCTCCACCCTCTACACTGCCCTACCGTGATCGTTGTCTGACCCCATATAATGCTCCACCCTCTACACTGCCCTACTGTGATCGTTGTCTGACCCCATATAATGCTCTACCATCGACACTGCCCTACCGTGATCGTTGTCTGACCCCATATAATGCTCCACCCTCTACACTGCCCTACCGTGATCGTTGTCTGACCCCATATAATGCTCTACCCTCTACACTGCCCTACCGTGATCGTTGTCTGACCCCATATAATGCTCCACCCTCTACACTGCCCTACTGTGATCGTTGTCTGACCCCATATAATGCTCCACCCTCTACACTGCCCTACCGTGATCGTTGTCTGACCCCATATAATGCTCCACCCTCTACACTGCCCTACAGCCGCACACACTAGCCTGGTGATCAGCATTTCCATGTTTGATACACTCCTCACAATCCCACCATGGGGGGGACCCACAGCTCTCGTTAAACCACTGATTTACAACCTATCCCACACACGTGCCATTTACAACCTATCCCACACATTAATGCCTCACTGACAAATTGTAGCAATTATGCTTAAAAAGAGTGAAGTATGAAATATTACTGAAAATATATTTTTTTGTTCCAATGAAAAACAGGAAGGTACAAAGAGCCCCAATAGTCTTTTAATCCATTAAGCTTTGAGGGAATCTCAATCTTAATATATTGAACTTGTAAGCTATGAACATTCACAGGTGACAAAACATATTCCATCATGGAGTCTGAACATCAGTAATGGACGAGAAGACATCTTAACGACAAAGTAAACATCAACTACTTCTGATCTATACAAAATATACTGCTAATGCAACATACCTGCAACATTTTGTAGCATGCACTCAGTGACCTTTCGCATTTATCCATAATAGTGGGTATTGATTTCCAAGACTCACTAATGAACATACCGATTAGCAAGTAGGCTCCGATACAGCATGTACAGTTTCCGGAAGACCCATAGAGGATGCAAGTTTCGAAACTGTCCGATCTATTTTAGCTAAAAGGGCGAACAGCGCACCTATTGATTAGGTCCTATTTAGGACACACTTCAAAACTGCTTATTCAGCATACATGAATCTTCTACATCCAAATCAAAAATGACATTTACGTCCCTGCTGTCTTTTTACAATGGTTCAATTAATTGGACATGGGTCCGTCAGTTATATGATCAAGATCCATTAATTATTGAATTCCTTTCTGATTAATAGACAGCAAATGTCACCTTAAAGAGTATTCTTTAGCATGTTTAGCGTGGTCCCCAGCAATGAAAATATTGGAGCAAGGAACGACATGATACAATGCCGCTGAATCAGCCTTGAAAATACCCCATACCTTTAATGAATGGTGTGTTCAGTGCATTCATGTAACACAAATCCTTAACCTTTTTAATATACAATCCAAAAATACCTTCCAGTACTATTTTCAGCATAGTTTAATAATACATCAAGATACTAAGCGAGATGACCTATCCTGAAGAAACTCGGCCATGGGAGTCAGACTGGTGACAGCAAATCATGAATTGAAAATAAATCTCATGCTTAGCATTTTGATTGCCACATGAAAAGACAAAATTCTCAGCTTAAAACAAACGGTGACAAACTTCATATAGATTCACGAACTCAGAAAATGAATTATTCCAACAATCATATACATTTATGATAAGTGTAAACAGAGACCTTGAAATCCATTTACCTCCTATATGTGCGAGATAACATATCTGGTGGCAATCCCTCACTATGCAGAGCAAGTGTTCAGGCTACGTACGACATAACTAGGCCTCCTGATGGCTGCTGTCCCCGCAGTGTCGCTCCAGAAGGAGCCGGCAGCGACATATTGCCAGGGAACGTGATACCTGCATGTCACAGGCTCCATTGCACTGCACTCATATCACTCAGCTTCGTCTACAACTCGTCTAACCCCAAAAAATTGTTTTCATACATAAACTAGTTTTGTTCATTTTTCATTCACTTGCAAAGGGTTTGTTTCATCTTTTAGAATGGTTAATTACATAAACAATGCCATGTCAAGTTTTATTTCATTAGGATGTGACTTAGAAAATGTAAAATATCACTTTCCCAGGATACGTGTTATGAGCGACAATATCAAATATCTTATTTTCCATATTCATTAATGATTATTTATTAACAGTGGATCACAAACCGCATTTAGTTTCAATTGTATGAAAGCTTTTCCTCCCCATTCAAGAAAGACTTTCAGGTCCCCTATTAATCCTGTTCCATGTACACAGACACCACATACTTCGTTAATCAGTCAGATAACATTCTCCTTTCACACCTTTGCCCAATCATCGTAGCCTGTAACATTCTTGTGTATGTACTAAACACTCGCACATATTATTAGCCATGTTTTTCACACAAAGCAACAGCCTGAGGTATATAAAACGCTTGCTCAGCCAGCTGGTAATTGGGTGCAACGTTAACCTAGCTTTCTAAAGCGTCTCGTGAAGTCGAGTTGCCCAAGGAACACTGACAAGTGTATCACAAAGACCAACAAAAGATTCAAGTGGAGTTTTCACCCAAGTCCTGCTTGGTGATCTTTATGTGGCCTACATTCAGACTCTATCAAACCATTACCGGGGCCAAAGACTGCTTTTGTGCCTGGGAGTGATCCCACGCTTCAATGATTTCCATCTCTTTTAAGGGAAACTGTAGTTAACATTGTCCTGACTCAAAAGACGCTTTTACCCCACAAATGCTGAGGGTGTTGGGTCGCAATGAAAGGCATTGTTCAGTGACCACCCCAATATGACACATTTCACTCCACATCCTTTTTTTTCCGTGTTTTCCGGTGTGGTTAAAAAGATGAGGACAGCCTATATCAAATAACACAAAGACTGTTTCCTGCAGTCAAAGATGACCGAATAAAGTTTTCTTTGAACTCATAATTTGCCATCTATTATTGAACAGTGAATCAGAAAACTAATTACAGACTGATTAAGTTTAAAATATTGCGAAGTTATAATGCGGAATGATGTTAAAACTTACCCAGGATGCACTGGTGGCATTGATTTCATCTGTTGGTGCATGGCGGGTGGTGGAACCTTCCCAAGATCGTTGGGACGATTTTTCTGGTGTCTTAAAAGTAACGACCTTCCCAATTCCTCACACCAAGACGTCAGCAGACCTGAAACATATAAAAAGTTATTTAGACATACGAGTGAGTGAGCCAGTATTACACTTTCAGCAATATTCCAGCAATGTCACAATGGGAGATCACAGAAATGAGCTTCACACATTGTACCCAGGCAGGGAATGGACCCGCTGATTGGATGCAACGAACCAACACTTATTGAGACATATAATCAAATATTGAAAATACCAGTACTGTAAAAAAATAATGAAACATTAAAACCAAGGCATATCTTTTAAATATCAGTCATGACCATAAACATACATTTGGATAAGTAGGGGAATTTTTTCAGCTTGCTGGAAATGTAAGAAATGTTCATATGTCAATCAGTTGCGAAATATTCTTTCAAACAAGTATGATTCCATATTAGTGAAGAATCATTTCTAAAAAGAATTGATGTAAATATACAACATCAACACCAGAGAAAAAGGGAGAAAGGTCAATATTTGTAACGAAACCATGAAGTTCTGACAATGGTTTCTAGCTGATAAAACAGTGTGACTAAGTTGTCCATGTCATCACAGCATGAAATCCACACTCCCATCAACTCCTGTTAAATTATTATCCACTCACACAAGCAACCTGTAGACTCCTACAAATCTCATTCTTTCCACCATGTCAATCAAAACAAATAGTCGTCAAACTGATTCTGTAATTGTCTATGTTAAGACTTCCTTTCTCAAACAACTGCGACACTGATTACTGATTGGAAGTGTCCTCTCAACCCATATACGTGGGTAAACACCCCGGACTGTGCTGACGTAAATGTTCAGCTTCTTGCCAATCACTTGACCCATTACCACAAAGAGGATTTCCCCCAGCTATTTATAGCCCATAGTAAGATCCTAGTATGTCCCATGATTCACATGACAATTATTTATCAACAGTGTGTCCACCTCAGCAGTGGTATTTAGCAGAACCTACAATCAGGCACAGAAGACAAAGTGTTGATAAACTGTCACCGAGGGAGTGAGTTGGGTTTATCGCCGCTTTTAACAGTATTCCCGTTATATCACAGCGTGTCAGCTTAATGTGGGAGGAAACTCTGCACTGCGAATCGCGGCGCCTTAGGCGACTGGGGCACCCATGCACCCAACAAACATTGAAATCATACATACTACTGAATAGAAGTTATATATTTTTATGACTATAGTTAATCTATTATGTCACATATGAAAACAATTGGGTACTCTTTTGAATAGTTTATGAATGTTTCTTTTACTAGGACTTAAGAACAAACAGACACACTTTCTAGAAGAAATCTGTTTTTATATTCGAGTCCCCTTTCTTACGTAGCAGCACATTTATTCATAGACAACTATGTATGGATTTAATATTCATCATTAATTTGAACTCTGTAAAAAAAGAAGCAATTGTATAGCTTAATCAGAGATAGAAAGGATTTTTATGTACCCTCTGGAGTGAGTGAGTGAGTACTGTTTTATGCTGCTTTTAGCAATATTCCAGCAATATCATGGTGGTGGTGGTGGTGGGGAGACACCAGAAATGGGCTTCACACATTGTTCCAAAGCGGGCAATCCAACCCAGGTCTTTGTTGTGATGAGAGAATGTTTTAACCACAAGGCTACCCCACTATGTTACCTTTGTAACTTAAGTGTCCACAAGAATACTGCTTTTCTCCATCAACACACCCAGTGAGTGTCATTTCATCATGAACCGGACTACATGAGCCTGTAATCAAGGTCCGACTTCCTTGTCATAGCCACTGATAACATCCTATTCAAATTCTGAGTCCCCAGTTTTAGTTTAATGTATCCTACTATGCATGTTTGCACAAGTTACTCTTATTAAGAACACTTTGCTCTGTTTTTTTTATAATATACGTCCTGACATGGTATTTAATTCCTAAACTATGACTTCAAAGTGTGACCTTCAGTCACCAGGAACTGTTATTCTGTGTGTTAATGATTTTAACCCTGCCTGGCATTTTTATTCAAGAAATTTCTAACCCTGTTAATGTACATGTACGACTGTTATTAAAATTAAAGAGTGAGTGAGTGATTATGGTTTAACGCTGCTTTTAGCAATTTTCCTGCAATATCATGGTGGGTGCACCAGAAATATACTTCACACATCGAAACCAGGTCTTCGGTGTGACAAGCGAACACTTTAACCACTAGGCTACCCCAAAGTAAAGATTATGTACTAACTGCTACTCACAATGAATGTAGCTTCATGTTTCTGGACAACTCCATAACATTCAGAAACATCATAGCAATGAGAAGTACCACTGTATCTTAACTAAACCAACTGGTTGACAGTTAATGTCTTCATGCATAAATTCTTGTGTTTGTACAATTTATATGTATTTGATTGATTTTGTCGGAACAAGATAAACATAACCCACTAATTCAATGATGATGGAGAATGGTGCCATGTTAATAGTTTGGTAAATAGTTAATGACACATACATACTGATGCACTACAATGAACTGATCCCATTTATCTGCTTACTTAACCATTCTGAACCAACAAGTTTATGGTTAACAGAGGGATAAAAGTATTATTGTCAACAGGTGACTGGTTCCTTATGGCATAACATCAACAGTTGTGTATCCGTGTTACCAGTGTGGGCACGAACCATATACCTTGATAACTGTTCTATTTACAAATCCTGACATTCAGATTCACCACCCCACCCTTCCCTGTCCCAACACACACAACAATTCCTTGTAAGGCAACATTGAAACAGTGTTAAATTAAGCAATAAAGTCAAGGGGGCCTTGCCATAGGAGGGCCCTACATACAAATACCATAGAGGACCTGAAGAACTCGAAGATCCCCCTTAATATTAAACTGATAAAACTAGTGTGGGCATAAGACCTCTTCTGATTTGTTGAGTAAACTGGTAAATCTTGTGTCAGTATTTAGTGGTTCGTACATCAGAAATAAAATACTTTCATTCCCATTTCTTGCCCAGAAATTGAAGATAATTGATTTTTTCAAATATTATTCTCGTAATGTAATATGGAAAAGTCCATGACATACCGTATTTGACGTAATAAGCGCCCCGCTCTAATAAGCGCCCACGGCGATATTTGCTAATATATTGGCTCGTGAACAATCCCAATTTGCACCCTTTCCGATTGATCAATGTACGCAATACTTATTTATTCGCGTATACTACGCACTCGTGTGTTATATGCACCCTTAATTATGGGCAATTAAATTCTGGAAAAAATATATCTCTCGTATATAAACATTCCAGGCTGTCAGCATAAACCACGAAATTTATCTTTCAACTCAACTCAACAAAATAATATTCTAATGAGAGCCCCATATTTCTAATTTTGAGAGCGCCCTGGGCGCTTATTACGTCGAATACGGTAATCAACTATAAATGCAATATATGCGTAAATAAATCGTGTCAGCAGCAAATTGAAACAAAGGTGTAAGGAAAAACATCGGAACACATGAAATGACTCCTACCAGGAAATAGCTTCCACTTAAACATCATCATAAATAATATCAAAAGTATATGATGTATAAATGACCTGTCATATTTCCCTGTGGAGTGAACTGCATGACACACGAGCTGAATGACTGCATAGCTTGCGGGGATGTAGATAGGGAGACCACAGAATGCCGGTTTTATGTGTAGCTGGTGAAATAGGGTAGTTACGCCAACATAACATCGCAATATACCAATACTTTCCACAGTCACCCTAGTCAATCTATGAATCAAATTCCATAATTCCTCTGGGATATATCTTATTCCAACTACTACTGCAAACAGAAGTGTTTCTTCTTAATTTGGATCTAAATAAAACTGGATTTGACCAACATAACTTACATGGGTTAAGAATAAACATTTCTCAAAGACTGCGTAGTTAAACTCACAAGTTGGACTAGTTGCTTATCCAATTGCACTGGATCTAAGCTTACAATACCATCATACAGATGGTGTCAAACAGAATGGAAATAGCCTTTAGTCCTATCAAGTAGTTACTGAGTAAAGTCTTCAGACCCTTCACTTTGATAGGGGATGAAAGTACGCCAGATATTGTGTTACTTACACTTTCTGTCTACAATGACATTTGTGTTTTGTTTGTTTGTATGGCGGCCGTCTGTAAATAATCGAGTCTGGACCAGACTCGCCAGTGATTGACATCATGTGCATTGATCTACCCACTGATCCTGTTAATCGTCTCTTACAACAAGCATAGTCGCCTATTATGCAAGCATGGGTTGCTGAAGACCTATTCTGACACAGATCTTTTGTAGCTTGTGAAATACTCCTGCTTGTGATCAGGTTTTCTGTTCATGTTTTTGATTACCTGTGTCAAGATGCACAAGGTAATTAAAATAATAACATATCTAAATAAATTTAAATATCGGGCAACTGAATTAGGCATTTGTCTAGGAAATCCTTAACCCTGCCTTATCGAATATACTACTTAATGAGTAAAACTACCAACAACTTATATTCACAGATTATTTCAATTTGAAAGGCATACATCACCAATAAGCACAAGCTTATGTGACTTCCATGGCACAGGTGTGCTATCAATCATACCTACAAGTATCAATAAGTATCACAGATTGCTTGCATCAGCAATAAATCAACCACCTCTAAATTGACTGCTTTAAGCTGTGGATCTGCATGCCCAGTTTTTAGTTTTACCGCAAGAATGACAAAGCAGATCGAGCTATATGTGGCGATATTGGATGTTCCGTGACAATAGAAATCAATGGAGCAAGAAGGATCAGTGATATTCAGCCCCAGGGTACACAACTGGAATTGAGCATGAATGAAGGGGAAATGTTGCTTGATGGAGACACGGGGGCCATGGCATCTCTCACCGCTACCATCCCCTGTGACTATAAATAGACTGCGTCTGCTAGTCAATATCCCCGTCCTCCCTTTATTAAATTGACTTGGTCAACATTCCCTATCTCAATCTGTTGTGTCCTAGACTGTCTCAATCAAGAGTTACATGCCCTTGTGTGAACTCTCCCTCCCATTCCCTTCT